TCCGGGAATCGCCCCGGGGGGAAGCGCCGGGGGTCAGTTGGTTGGGAATTGCCCTGGGGGGAAGGGCCGGGGGGCTCTGTGGCTCCCCGACTGAGACAGGAGGGGTTGACCCAGCCAGAAATCCACCCCAGAGGGAAACCGCGGGCCCCTCACGGTGGGTGATTATCTCAGGAGGGAGGCTGGTGTGGCCGGGCATTGCAGCCAGGCAGCGTGTGCTCAGTTTCAATATCAGCTTGCCCTTTGCTCCTCCCTGTGTGGCAGTTGACATTCCTCTCTCCTCTTGGCAGAGGCAGTCAGGAGTGTGTGACAGAAGTTTCAGACTCTGAGGAGCTGGAAGTGCAACCTGGGGTGTGGCGGGCGGGTGGGCGGGCGGGCGGGCGGACTCCCTGCTCCTGATGCCAGCCTCCCGGGGAACTTACCACACTGATCATCCCGGAGGAGTTGAAGTTTGCAGCCTGCTATGGAGCTCTCCTGCTTCGGCAGCCACCTGGGCTGGGCTGCGTGTGTGCTGGTGCTGGCCCTGCTCCTCCGAGCCAGGAGACGGGGCGCCTGGCTCCCCCGCATGTCTCCCACTGACCTGACGGGCAAGACAGCCATTGTCACAGGAGCCAACTGCGGTGAGTCTGGCCCCAGCCACCTGGGTGCAGCGGGGGGGCTGGCTAGTACTTGGTGCTGTTCACTAGGAGCATCTGGAGGCACCAGCCTCATCCATCCCTCTCCCCCGGCACACCCTGTCCACAGTGGCAGCAGCTGGGCTGCAGGGAGTGGAGCTGGGCAGGGAGAGGGGAAGAAGGGGGCTGGGGGTCCCGCGCCTTGCGGCTCCCGAGCTCTGCTCCCCTGGGCCTGTGGGGAGGGGGAGACCGGACAGAAATACGCCCTGCCCAGGGGAGTGGGCCGTGGTGCCCTCTCATGGCTGGGCTCCAGAGAGGAAAAGGGACCCACCACTGCTGCCAGGCAGGGAGGGGGTTTTACAGCGTTACTAAGGGCCGGATTAATGCAGCAATGATGTGTGAGGTGAACGCAGGGATCCAGCTTGCGGGGGAATCAGTCGCTTAAAAGAGAAATGTAAATAAACAGTGCAGGGAGGGCATGCGTGTGGCTGCGTGTGCATGCAGGTGGGTGCGTGTGCATGCGTGTGTATGTACAGGTGCATGCAGTGGCTGCTTCTGCCTCCGGCCCCACAAGGCCCTGCATGCCTGAGCGCAGCGTGGGAGTACTTCCTCTCCTGGCAGGTGGAGGTTCAGAGGAAGGAGGGCGCAGTGGGGCTGGTGATGGGGCCGGGGGAGACTGAGCACAGGAGCGGAGCGCAGCTGGTTCATACCGTGGCATTGCCAGAGGGGAAGCGCTGGACGGCTCACAGAGGGCGGTGGGGGGGAAGGGCGTGGACGGCTCACAGAGGGC